ATTCATACTACATGGTTACTCATCATATTGCATACTGTTACATGGTTACTTCATTCATACTACATGCTGCATTTACATGGTTACTGCAATATTACATGCTGTTATATGGTTACTGCAATATTACATGCTGTTACATGGTTGCTGTATTCATATTACATGCTGTTATATGGTTACTTCATTCATACTACATGCTGCACTTACATGGTTACTGTATTTATAGTACATGCTGTTACATGGTTGCTGTATTTATATTACATGCTGTATCATGGTTACTTCATTCATACTACATGCTGCACTTACATGGTTACTACATTCATACTACATGCTGCACTTACATGGTCACTGTATTTATATTACATACTGTTACATGGTTACTGTATTTATATTACATGCTTTTACATGGTTACTGTAATCATATTACATGCTGTTACATGGTTACTTCATTCATACTACATGCTGTTACATGGTTACTGTATTTATGTTACTGCATTCATACTACACACTACATTTATATCACATGCTGCAGTTACACGATTACTGTATTCATATTGCATGCTGTTACATGGTTACTGTTTGCATATTATATTCATATTACATATTGCAGTTGAATGGTTACTACATTCATATTACTTGCTGCAGTTATTGTGTTACTGCATTCATATTACATCCTGCAGGGTTACTACATTGATGTTACTTATAGCAGTTATTAAATGCTTATTCTAAAACCAACATAAGGATTTGTGTTCACTGTCTTACTCAAGGTGCCCCAGTACATTGCTATACGACTCCTATTCCTGTTGAATGACATGAATAAATAACTTACACATTTGTGACCAATCAACGTGACACGTTCAATTTCGGTCCAAATGCTTTGATACTTGGTATGTAGGCACATTGGGTGGACCTCTCTCAGATTTGTTCATTTCGTGATATCTTCATTTCTCTAATTTTGATGAATATTTTTGTCATTTTTGATAAAAAATAATATTTTTGACTTCTCCTTGAAAACTGCTTGTCCAATTGCTTTGATATTGTATATGTAGGTACATCAGGTAGACCTCTGTCAGATTTGTTGATTTTGTGACAATATCTTCAATTCTCTAATTTTGATGAATATTTTTGTCATTTTTGGTAAAAAAATTGTATTTTCAACTTCTCCTTGAAAACAGCTTGTCCAATTTCTTTGATATTGTATATGTACGTATATCAGGTGGACCTCTGTCAGATTTGGTAATTTCATGACGATATCTTCAAATCTCTAATGTTAGTGAACATTTGTGTAATTTTTCGTAAAAATGTTATTTTCAACTCGTTGAAAACTTCTAACCTTATTGCTTTGTAAATTTATTTGTAGGTACCTTGGGTGGATCTCAGTCAGATTTGTTAATTTCATGATGATATCTTAAATTCTCTATTTTAACAAATATTTTCGTCATTTTTCATGAAAAAACATATTTTTGACTTGTACTTCAAAACCAGTAGTCCAAATTCTTTGATACTTGTACACATGCAGCTTGGTTAGACCTCTATTAGATTTGTCCATTTCATAAAGACGACGCATGGCGTAAATTTCACCAGGAAATTCATCAGTGTGCTCTTGCAATTGCGGATTTATTCATTTTTACAAGATTCGCCATTTTTTGTTGTTACATGGTACTTATGTAAACAATGACTGTCCAGTTTTCGCGAACTTGTCTCTCTATACTTATGTTTTTTAATCATATACGCTAAATTACTGTTCTGAATGAAACAACAGACAGAGAATGATTTACTTAAAAACGTCATCAAACCCTTCTTGCTACCTTGAGGTCACACCATGGTAAAATTGTGAAGGCATATAATATAACCTTTATGGAAGCTTTTGCCACCCTCAGTCAGCTAACACACCCTCAGTCAGCTAACACACCCTCAGTCAGCTAACACACCCTCAGTCAGCTAACACACCCTCAGTCAGCTAACACACCCTCAGTCAGCTAACACACCCTCAGTCAGCTAACACACCCTCAGTCAGCTAACACACCCTCAGTCAGCTAACACACCCTCAGTCAGCTAACACACCCTCAGTCAGCTAACACACCCTCAGTCAGCTAACACACCCTCAGTCAGCTAACACACCCTCACAATTTCTGGAGCTTCCGTCGCGCGACCTCAGGCCCCAAAAGCTTTGTTTCCATAAAGACTAATGTTTTCGCAGTCCGAAAACGGGGACTTATGTTTTGACCTCTGTGCGTCCATGCTTCCGTGCTTGCGCGAGTCCGGACCTGTATCTTAGAAATGCCTGGACCAATCACAATCAAACTTCATACATACATCTTACATGATATTATTTTGTTCAAACTTGGTATATACGTTGGGCATTATAGGACCTTGATGCAGATCATTTTGTTTTTCAGATAAAATTCAAAATGGCTGACTGGCGGCCATTTTGTTTTAATAAATGTGGTTCTAGTGCCTTATCTCTGACTTGCTGTAACTGATTATGTTCAAATTTTAAATATTCATTTATATACATTATGTCATAGATATACCGATATATTGGTTTGACGATCCTATTAAAAATGGTCGAATAGTGGCCATTTTTGTGCTAGAAAATCATCAAATATCAAGCATTTCTGGTATTTATGGATGGATTTTGTTCAAACTTGGTACATAGATTAGACATTACGGGTTCCTGATGCACGTTATTTTATTTTTTAGATCGGATTCAGAATGGCTGACTAGTGGCCATTTTGTTTTAATGAATGGGCTTCTAGAGACATATCTCTGACATGCTTCGACTGACTATGTTCAAATTTTATATATTCATTATACATGTATTCAAAATGGCTGATTTTGTTTTAATTAATGCTGTTCCAGAGCAATATCTCTCAATACTTTTTTGACGATCAGATACAAATGTCAATCATTTAAATGTTAAACAATCATCATAATCATATTCCTGACATGTTTATATTCCAGCTATATTATTTAGTCCCCGTCCGAAAACGAGGACTTATGTTTTGACCTCCGTCTGTCCGTCCGTCCGTCCGTCCGTCCGTCCGTCCATCCGTCCATCCGTCCGTCTGTCCGTCCGTCCGTCCGTCCGTCCGTCCGTCTGTCCGTCCGTCCGTCCGTCCGTCCGTCTGTCCGTCCGTCCATCCGTCCATCCGTCCAGACCTGTATCTTAGAAATGCCTGGACCAATCACAATCAAACTACACACATACATCATACATGATATTATACATATGCACGTCAATTGGTTTGACGATCCTCTTCAAGATGGCCGAATGGTGGCCATTTTTGTGCCAAAAAAATATCAAGCGTTTCTGGCATTTATGGATGGATTTTGTTCAAACTTGGTACATACATTAGACATTATGGGTTTCTGATGCATGTCATTTTATTTTTCAGATTGGATTCAAAATGGCTGACTGGCGGCCATTTTGTTTTAATGATTGGGCTTCTAGAGCCATATCTCTTAAATGCTTTGACTTATTATATTTAAATATTATATATTCGTTGTACATCATGTTATATATATACATGTATTCAAAATGGCTGATTTTGAATGCTGTTCGAGAGCAATATCTCTCAATATGGACAAGTACTTGTTTGACAATCAGATACAAATGTCAATCATTTTAATGTTAAAAAATCATATTCCTGACATGGTTATATTCCAGCTATATTACTATAAACAAAATTATATATCTTAAATTTGATAACTAACGGGGACTGTGCCATGCATGGCTTGTTATAAACTAAACTATATATCTTAAATTTGATAACTAACGGGGACTGTGGCATTCATGGCTTGTTCTATGAGGGACATTGAGATTTATATAGACATGTCATATTATTTGAGGAATATGAATAATTTTTTTTTTTATGTAATATAATCATAACTATTTAGCCCTGTTGACATTATAAATGGAGGAGTGGAGGTGTTCATGTTGATGATTGTAAATTGATATATCCTAAAAAATCAGTTTTATAAAAATGACTATGGATTGAAATTGCCAAAGGACGAGTCATACAACTTAGATGCCCCACTTTAAGGATTAACAGTTTTAATCACCAAGTGGATAAACATTTTAGAAATTATAATTAATTTTGTTGCTTTCTTACTATTGCAATGCAAACCTCAGGGGATGAAAACTGATGTATTGTGAATGCTAATAACCCCCCCCCCCCACACATACGCACATGTGGATAGTCTATAAATCAACCAAGCCTGTCATAGATAACTAACTGTATGTGTTTGTATTTTCACAATTGTCAGCCTCTTGGGGTTGGTTGATGAGAATGTGCACTTTAATATATATGTCATATTTTCACTTAATTTTTGTTTTCTCTGTATAAGGTGTCTGTATGTCTTGTACCACTTGTTCGTGTAAACCTCTTCAAGGCGATAATTTAAACATAAATTATGTTTTTTTTTTATTTTTAAATTCTTTTTGTTAATTTTAGACCATTGGCTTATTTTATAAAAGGTGACTTTGGTGTTCAAAGGATTACTAAAATGAATTATTTTCCCAATTTAAAATACTCCTTCCAATGAAAAATGCAGATGATTTAATTAATCTTTTCCACAAGTCAATTCTTTTGAGGATAGAACCAACTTCACACAAATCTGACAGATGGGGAAAATACCCAGGAAGCATCACCATGGCAACCATAGTGATAGGCTGAAGTGATCTTGGAGCCCTAGCAAACTAGGCAACAAATAATAAATCTAGTGAATGGCTCTGCCATGCACCCCATCCTTAAAACATTTGATACAATTTTAGGCATTAGATGTAAGCTTTTATGTGTTTAAGTGTAGCACCACAAATTTTCTTTTCTTGACCAGACTGGTTGATTTTATGTAAATAATAGATGTTAAAATTATGATGAAAGCATATGAATAAAATCATGAGGCTAACACTGTGTGTATTTTAACAGATATACTATATTAATCACAGTGCTTCAACAAACTATATGAAATTGATAAAGGTACTAAGTCTTTGTGAATTGCAGGATCTAAGTCAAGATGGTCATATCACCCGTGAGGACGAAGAAGAGATCCCATCTACTGAAGTGTGCGAGTCAAAGATAACTGCTTTAATAAGGTAAATAATGCAAGGAGGTGTGTGTAACTTTATAGGGAAGAGAAGTTTGGTTTGTTCAGCACCTTGCAATAGTTTGAAAAATAATTAAGCAATAATATGTGATTATGTTTTTCTTTGTTTTCAGTGTATTTGCCACAGTTGTGACTGCTTTAGGGGACAGTTTCAGTCCGGTGAACACAGCAACCATATCACATACTTATATCACAAAGGTTAGTACTAATATGAGGTTTCCAAAGAACAGTTACCTATACTAGTGTATTACTCAGGCAGTAGCTTCTAATATGGAAAGAGAGTGGCATGAAGGAGGATTGTATCCATGGAAATAATCTATAATTTTATGCCACTGTGAGGGGCAAAAGCATTTATAATATTTATTAATAACTTATCAGGTTTTGCAAAGAATAATAAAGTGTGTTCAAGTTTCAAGCCAGAAGCAAGTATTTGAAGATATTTTTATAGCAGGTGAGCAAAAATACTGAATAAATTGTACAAGACTTGCAGTAACTGGTGCCTTGTATCATTGTCTTACAGAGAATGTTTTTCCTAGGGCTGATCATGACATATTGCAAATCAAATAGCTCATCAAGAATGTTTGATTTACCCAACGGTTATTTTCAAGTAATGTAAGTGTCCGGCAGGTGTTGCACTCATTGCCCCTCTATGCGCTGTGCACAATATTATCTCCACTATCCTGCAGAGATTTATTAAACACAATTGTGGATTACTATTTATGATATTATATGTTGAGTATTTAAAGTCATGAGTTAGTGAAAACTTTATTTGAATGGTAATTTTATTATGATGATGGTTATAATTGTGTTGTTTGATTTCAGCCAATGTCTGTTTAGAAGCAATATGCCATTGTCTGCACTCTCATCTTGCCAAATGTTTTGATGGCGTGTTGAAATATGCGTTGGACCAAGTGGATGGCAAGTGGCAACTGACCAAACCACATGCTGAGTCATTACTTTGTTTATTATTTAAGGTAAAACGAAACATGCTGTTTTGTTTTTTCACTGCATTACCAAGGATTTATTTGAGTCGTGCACTTATGTGCTGCCGTACAACATGATATATAAAAACAATATATTTTTCCCTGTCAAAACTTCCTGACAATGTGTATGGACACCAAATATACTAAAAATACACCGTTAAAACGACGCAGAAACCTTCCGATATGGCATCGCTCTGCTCCCTCGCCTGTGTGTGCTCCCTCTTCTTAATTTTTTCTAGAAAAACCCCTGATCACCTTTCATCAACTTACAATTGTTTGTATCTTTAATTTCTATCCCTCATTTTCTTTCTAACAGATTGTGGATAATGTGAACACAAATCTCCCTTCTAGTTTTATTGAGCATTTCCTTGGCCCTAATTCTGTATATCTGCAACTGAGATTCCTTGCTGATGAAGAGGTAGGTGCCCCTGAATCTGTATATTCTAAGAAAAGATTATTACCATTGAATGATAAAACCTTACTGTTTTTCTTGTACAATTAAGTATTCTACATATTTTTTACATTCTGCTGTTAATTGTGATTTCTCTGTTTCATCTTGTTAGATCCTTGGTTTGTTGATGAGCATTTATCACAGTTTACTGGGAATGAAAAATATTCCCTTGCTTGAATCTTCATATAAGTGAGTAATAAGCTTTACATTAAAAGACTAAAGTAGTCAATTATACTGTTATTTTTAGTCAATATTTAAATATGATGTAAACAATTACCTGAATCTGAATTTTCCTATGTTCGTTTTTACCTTTCTAGTTTGGTTTTGAGTGATTTAGAGATAGCTTACAGAAGGTTACTAGAAAACAGTGGTAGCAGTGTACAGTGTAAGCTGGTAGATGGGGAGAATCCCTTTAAAGATAGTCACTTCAATGTTGAAAATGCAGAAGCTGCTGTGGTATTTGATGTGTGTGCACTGTCTGAGATTGGCAGCTCCAAAAATACTATTATTGGGGTAAGAAGATTTCTGTGTACCGGGTATTATTTACTAGTTCTTTTGGTGACAGATTGCATTGTAATTTTTCAACATAGGAGGCATGGTAAATAGCTTTAACACTTTATAATTCTATTTAAGATGTGGGCTATATCTCCCAGTATATTTGAATTATTTACAAAGCATCTGAGTGTATGTAGTTGGAAGCTGGCTATATATTATCCAAGTGTCCAGTATGCAATAATGCAAGCTCTCTATGCTCACTGCTTTAGGTAAGACGATTAATCATTATTTCCTTATAACCGTATATATGTCAATAACATGAATTCTGGACTAGATTATACATCAGAAAAATAAAACTAATAATGATGCTTGAAATAGAAGAACTTGTGCCTTTCTTATCATCATCCCTACAGTACTGTACTCTCTTCATTCCATTCTCCAGTCAGAAGAGTCACTTGTTAATATTTTCTCTTTGTAGGCATGGTCATTTTATTTCTAGTAGTGTTGGTAGCAATCAGCCAGCTATTATTGAAGGCACTGTGTTGAGTTCAGTTACTCCAACTACCAGCACTTACTTTCCAACAATCTTAACTATACTTGTTAATATATTGTCGCATACAACATCACCTCAAGATATCAAGTAAGCTTTACTGTAACATGATCAGCTTATCTTTTGATTTTTTAGCTCCGCGCTGGACAAATTCGACATTACATTCATATTACTGATTGTCCGTTGTCGTCAACTTTACAATTTCAACTTCTTCTTCTTCTTTGAAACCGCAAGTACCTTGGATGGTTCTTTCTCAGATTTGTACATTTCATGTCAAAATCTCAAATTCTCTATTTTTGGTGAATATTTTTGTAATTATTGGTAAAAAGTGATATTTTCGAATTCTTGTTGAAAACAGTAAGTCCGATTGCTTTGATACTATACATATTGTTCATTTTCTAATGATATCTTCAGTTCTATAATTGTAATGTGCATTGCTAACAGCGGAGGTATCTCAGCCGACAGGCTGCTTGTTTATTGTGTGCATCACAATGTAATCAAAACTACATATATCATTAGAGCAAAGTTTATGGGAATATGCTGTTTGGCATATGTAAAACAAAAATTCATTTTGTGAGAATAGTTTCTCTAGTCTTGAAAGAAATAACTTTCAAATTACATACCATAGGATTAGCAATTATCCTTTCATGCAAAGCTGTTTATTTTTGTATTACAAGTAAAATTACTATTCACTCTTTATTTGTAGGATTCTTGGTTTGACATGGCTACAGAATATTATAGAGAAGGTTGTCCCCTGCGACCGTGAAATTGTGTATGCATGTCCTGAATTCCAGTCATCTATCTCAACATTGTTGGATCTTGGTAAGTCTTCAGTTAGTCATGTCTGTGAAATATGTTAAATTGAAATTATTTGGCAATGTCAAAACACAGTAAAATTCATTATTTCACTTTCAAATTCGTGAATTTTAAAACCTGGTATAAAAATGCTGTGAAAGTAACATTATTGTAAAAACTCCTAATCTTCATTCATTCACACTCACCTACCATGTTCTTAGTCATTTGAGAATTACAAAATCCATTAAATTATGACCTGTCATCAGAGTTTCAAAATTGTATTCTTTTATTGTTCTAACCTGTAATGCATTGAACAAAAAGCACACCATCATTCACAATATATAATTTTTTTCACCAGCCTACAATTCAAGATATGGCAGAACCTATGGTAAAAGCGTTATAATACTGACAAAATGGCTATTATCTACTAAACCATCATTTCCCCCAAAATTATGCTGGTGACCCCCCCACTTTTTTTTATGTCAATATCCTTATATTGCCTGGGAGCACAATTTATTGTGAAATGAATGAATCTATTTGCATTGAGTAGGTTTCTACCTTTAATCAAATTAAGTTACCATCTCTGTGATCAAAGCCAGACTGCTTCAACCAGTGATGATTGAACCAAAACGTGAACTTCAAACTTTTACTTATGGCATAAACATAACTACCAGTACATGCATGTGCAAGAAAATTAAAGCTTGAGACAATGCATGGATTGTAAAATTTTCTCAATAAATGCAGATAGAATGCATCGTCAGGTTGAAAAGTCTTCAGTAAGCAGCAGGTGTCATGTTGTTGGTGCCATCTTCCAGTCACCACCACCATATATGGATGACTTGATAGTTGAATAATGTAAAATACTTTATATTACTATTAGCTGGAATCAATTTTCTCAGAAAAGATCTTTTGGGTGTTTTCAATGAATATAGCGAAAACAAAATTACAAGCAAAAAGAGTTTATTTTACAGTACACGTCTTTGCTTGCATAACTACTTGACCCTGTGTCAATGTATTGTGCATGGTCTAAGCTTGCCAGAAGCTCACATTTTAAATTTCTGGATAAAGGCTATTCTAATGATGACTTTGTATCATAATTTGTTACCTAGTTATCTGAATGTCGGTTTGAACTGACATGCAAAATAATGGTTCATTCAAATCAAAGTGTTAATTCATAATAATTAACTGTTAGTGGCATGTGTGACATTAGCAGACAGGACGTTTGCATACATTGTATAATGGGTGGGTCATTCAAATTACATTTCCTATGATGCACTGGTACAATTTCAGGATTGTGAAGTCGCTGTTTAACGTTGAACATTAACAGCAATCTTTATTAGGTTTTATTGTTGATTTCACTTTCATAATTCAATAATCTGTCTGTGGCCTTTACAGTGTCTGCTTTTTTTGTTTCAGCCACTAGCCCGGACATCATAATAAGTTTACGGTGTTGTAAATGTCTTGAGTTGACTGTCACATCTAATCATCTATCACATCAACTGTTGAAAAGGTAAGCACTCATTCCCATCACTGCATTGGTGTTATAATATAAATATTACATGTAATATTTGCTCACATGCTATTTACTTTAATTATAATGTGCATTTTGATTGAATCTACCTTTGATAGAATACATAGAAGTGTAAGTGTGAGATTCTAGTTGTATACCTGTTTCCACCTTGGTAACCCATACCATCCCCTATTCGATATTGGCTATAAAGTTTCCTGTTACTGTTTTGCAGTCTTGCTGTCATTGAGTCTCACAGAACATGAATTTTCTTCCAATCCATTGGGATGCTGCCAAATTTATGTCTTTATCCTATATTGCAAATGTCTCGTGCAGTATCATTTTACTGCCTACAGAGACTTTGGTGTTTAGTAGATGTTTTTTTTTTTTGGCAGGTTGGTTGATGTTTGTAAAGTAAAGATGACTTGTACTAATACTAAAGTTTCTGCTGCATATACAGCCATGTTGAAGACCCTGCCGACTGATTTACTTACAAGGTACATATTGTGTTCAGTGAATTCATCTAATGATACAGTGTCTGGTGACTCTTCATTGATACTGTTTTCCAAAGTGAGGTCACAGGATGTAGTTTCCCTCTTTCTGTATTACTAAAATTTTGTACAATAACAGGAATAACTTGATATTTGTAAACCAAATGTGAATTTTAAAAATAAAATTAATATAATTAAAATTTTTTAATTTAACTGGATATTTTATTATTATTATTATTTTATTTCCATTTCTCTAAAGAAATATACCCCACTAACCTGGGGGAACAGGTTACAATGCGAAAGTTACAGGCGTGTCTTTAATCGTCTCAATAAAATAAAGTATTATATATATATATATACACATACACACATATACAACTCATCTATTGGAGAACTCACACTAACAAATTATATCTAATCTGAAAAGCTGTGTATACAAATCTTGCAATAATTTGGATGATATCATGGTTATCCTGAGAAAAAATATATGTAAGTTTACGGATAGGCGAAAGGAACTCGAATTGTGGTTCAATGCGGTTAATTCGATCAAAAAGCGGTTTTCGAATATGGTTATATGCTGGACAAACTACCAAAAAATGAGTTTCATCTTCAACAGCATCTATACATATTTGGCAGGTTCTATTTTCCACCGGAGTTCCATAATATCTACCAGTCTCAATGTGTAACTTATGATTAGAGCACCAGAGTTTAGTTAAAGCTTGTCTGTACAGGGGAACACGAATGATATCCAAATAATTCTCATAAAAAATATTTATTTTAAATTGGCGAAACGTTCGTAACTTATTTCTACTGTTTGGGGATCTACGAACATCGTCAAATAAAGCATCTTTCCAACTTTTGAAATAACAATCTCTCTCTTTCTTTCCAATTAACAACGTTGTTTCATC